CCCCGAGGCGGCGGCGCCGGCGCCGGCGCCGGCGGCGGGTGGGCTCGGTTACCCTGGCGCCTTCATCCAGTACCAGCCTGACGACATCCTGAAGATCGTGTCGACGCTGTCTCAGTCGGACGTGGCCGTGGTTCCCGGAGTCGCGGACATCCGCGAGCACTCGCTGGCCTTCGAGGCGGACGCGAACCTGGGGCTGATGATGCGCCAGCGGTCGGTGTCGATCGACGAGTGCCGGGAGCAGCTCCGCAAGGGGCGACCGGTGCACCGCGAGGGGGTGATCGCCGGGGCCGTCGACTACGGCACCTACATGTACGGGGAAGGTCACGACCCGCAGCAGCAGGCGGGGTCGGCCCCAAGAGGAGAGGGTCATGGAGGGGGGGGAGCGGCGGGCGAGAGTAAGAAAAAATCGGACAGGAGTCGGAGGGAAAAAGGGGCGGATAGACCATCGTCCGATGACAGCAAGGCGAGGGGGGGCGAGGAGAAGCCCGGCAGAGGTAAGATTGCGGCAACAACGACGTCTTCCGCACCGGCCGCGAAGGAACCCATGGGCGCGTACGCGGCAGCCCTGCTGAAGAATCCCCGGTCGGTCCAGCAGCCTCAGCAGGCGGCGCCGGCAGCGGCGGCGGCGTCTGCTGGCACTACCGCCAAGCCCGCGTCAACGACCTCCTCCTCCCCCTCCTCCTCGTCTTCCTCTTCCAAGCCGTCGTCGGCCAAGCCCTCGGGCAAGGAAAGGAAGGGCGACAAGGGTAAAGAAACTAGCAGCAGCAGCAGCAGCAGCAGCAGCAGTAGCGGAGCGAGTGCAGGGGCGCCGGGGCCTACCGGCGGCGGCGGCAGCGGCGGTGCGCCTTCGACTAAGTCCCCGCGAGCCAAGAGCTCCGCCGCTGCTGCCGCCACCCCCGAGGACCCGGCGGCGGTGGCGGCAGCAGACCCCGCCGTTGCTACCGCTGGGGCGAAGAGCAAAGACGCGTCCAAGGATAGCGGTGCGGCCGGCGGGAAGGGGAAGGGGAGCGGAACCGCGACGGCGGCGGCGGGAGGAGGGGCGGGCGAATGGGCGCCGCCACGGCCAACACGGGGCTGGGAGAAGCCGGAGGTTACCCAGCAGAAACAGCGGGGGTTAAGTGCGGGCAGCGACGCGGGCAACAGAGGGGGCAAGGCCACGTCGGCCAAGGTCAGTCAGTGGTGCATAGCTACAGCTGTGTGGTGTCGTGGTCGTGTTGCCCTGTTGCGGTAGCGATCATGTTTTTCGCGCGGCGATTCACGATTGGGCGGCGGGTGAGTCATACCGAGTGTATTTTATTGCAGCCTCTGACCCCGCACAGCGGGGGGTGAAGTCTCTTTGATTATAATGGCGGCCGGCAGAAGCGGGTCTCCCTGTTTTGTTCGTCACCGCCCCACCGGTTGTGACCCCGTCATGTCACAAGGAGAGGCTCACGGTTACGTTCGCGGCGAGTTTTTGGTTTCTTCACCGTCTTGTTGTGTCCGATCACCCCATGTATTTGCTAACCGTGACTCGCAGTTTGTAACGTTTCTACGTTTCCCGCAGCCTCTCTTGACTACACGGCCGAAGAGCTCCGATGCGCGGACTGGCGCAAAAGATCCCGTGTTCGGGGCATGCATACAGTTTTAACTCGAGATTCGTTCACGTGCCCCCTGATAAACCTGATACAAGTATCGCCTTTAAGGAGCATGTAGAACCACTCTCCGTTTGATACATTTCGGGGGCTTCTCTATCGGCGCACTGCTGCTTTACCGGCAAACGTGTGTGGGTGCTGCTGTCATGTCCCGAAGGCTGTGATGTGTAGAGCAGCAGCAGGCACGATTTTTTATTTTTTATTACTTGTGCTCGGAGCCACGGGGGTTCTGCGGATCGTTTTTTTCTCGAGTTCGTGTGTTGCTGCCGGGAAAAAGCCCGGGAGAGGATAGCATGTGATCGAGGCAGGGTGAAGACAAAATATTTTCCTAGCTGACTCTCGATCTCGAGCGGTGGGGCTCACACCTTTGAGTGTATTCGTACTGTCTGACTGCCATTTACATATTGATTTATTTATTTTCCAGCTTTTCCAGCGTGTCCTCTCATGAACTAAATTCCCTTGTCGCCACGCCAGGAGTTGCCTCGTGAGTCGTTTTTCAGAACGAAAGTGTGGGTGTGTTTTGTGTGCTTCGTCACATCTTTTTCAGAATGAAGACAAACCTTGCCTAGCCGACGCTTGTTCTCGACGAGAGAGCGGTGGGGCTTACACCTTCGAGTGTATTCGTACTGTCTGACTGCTGCGACTGTTTTTTTTTTTTCCTGAAGCGTGTTTTCTCCGGACCCAAATTTCCTGGTCGCCGGGAGTTGCCACATACAGTCGTTCTCCAGAATGCTCCAAAAGCATGGGAGAGTGTTTTATTTTTGTGTGAAATGCCCCAGTTGTAGGTTTCAGTACTTTTGCACAACTCGGGGCCCCTGCTCTAACGTAAGGTCCACGTCTCTCGGCTGGGCCTACTGCGATTTTCCTTTGCGTGCTTGTTGTCCCGTGAGTGTTCTCGCTCGCTTTGGTACGCGTTTTGTGTTTGTTGACCTTGGGAATGAAGGCAGCGGCGAAAAGAATTAAGAACGGTATCTTGACTGCAAGGGCAGACAGGTCGCCGAAGTCGTCAAGTCTCGGGGGAATGCTTGCCCCGCCACGGTCGGATCGCAAAACCGAGCCTTACAGATGTTTAATCTGAAGATGTGTGGGGCTCGGTTGTGCGATCTGATGATGGGGGGACAAGGACTCCCGCCGGACTTTTATGACTTGGGGTGATAGATACTGCGTCCTAAAGCTCTTTTCCGAGCCATGGAGCTGTACACGTTCAGGGGCATTCGTACCGTCCGACTGTCTTGCCGTTTGTGTTGATTTTCAGAATGAAGGCAGCGGTGAAATTGTCCGAAGTCGGGATGTTCCAAGGGCAGATAGATGTCCGAAGTCATGAAGTCTCGTGGAAATGCTTGCCCCTCCGTTGTCGGATCGTAAAACCGAGCCCTACAGATCTTCAGTCTGAAAGATGTTGTGGGGCTCCGTTCTGTGATCTGGTTATGGAGGGACAAGGACTCCCGCGGGACTTGTATGGCTTGGGTGATCCTGCGTCCTGAAGCTCTTTTCCGAGCAGTGGAGCTTTACACGTTGATGGCTATTCGTACCGTCTGACTGTCTTTCTGACATTTTTTTTTTTTCCCTTAGGGACAGAACACTGCGTATTGTCCCTGTACAGCTGTTGTAGCGGTAGAGTTTTTGTGTTTTCCTTTTTTCTCTTCGTTTTTCAAGAAGATAACACAGTAGTAAATATCCATCCACGGACACCAAGTAGTCGAGGATAAATTAGCAATTATTTCATAGAAGTGTGTGACCTACCGATACTTTTGGTTCAGCAGATCTCTGAGCAATATACAGACCCTGTAAAATACCTCCCCTGTGGGTATGCATAACAGGCTCATGAAGACGAGTTTTTTTACTTGTCCGTTTTGTGTGTTCGTTTTAGCGTTTTTTTCAGAATGAAGACAAACCTTGCCTAGCCGACGCTTGTTCTCGACGAGAGAGCGGTGGGGCTTACACCTTGAGTGTATTCGTACTGTCTGACTGATTTATTCTTCCTTTTTTTTTCGTACTTGATGACGCTCTCTTTCCGATCAGCTATGGGCAGTTACATACATTTACATCTTCTTGTTTTGTCTCTGATACTGAATGGTAGATGACAGACATGTGACTGCAATGGTTCGTGATCGAGGTCTAGAGAGTTAAGGGAAGAGAACGACAGCAGTTATCGTGAATGTGCTGGTATAGATCATTTTCTTGGCTTTTCTGTTGTAGATTCAGTTTCTGTGCTGAGACGTGTTCGTAAAAGTTTGCCCTGGCGCAAACGTGCTCGGCCTTTTGAGATCGTGCTGCTGTTGTTTCTACATCGCCCATCTGTGTATTTGCTGGGCGGCTTGACCGGTGCTACTGCGGCTGTGAATCGACTCGCCCATTCACCTCTTATGATGCCTCCGGGCCACGACCGAATTTCAACCTTGTGGACAGCACTTTTATGCGCCCGTAAAATCCACGCTGCAGAGCTCTCGCGATTTTTCTCTCCTTGCGTCATGCCACCAAGCTTTCGGCGGGTATATGGCGTCCCTCGTTCAAGGATCTATCGGTGCCAGTGATCCATCGTTACAGCACCTGATTAACCTTAAAACCTCTTCCCTCCCTGACCCCGTCCTGTTTTACCAGTCCGCGGGGAGCTCGGCGGGGACGGACAAGAAGTCGATATCGGCAGCCACGGCCCCGATCTCCGGAGATGACGGCGTGGGAGACTCGGCAACGGCGGCGGTGGCGGCGTCGTTCTCGGCCGAGGGGTCATCGGAAGGCGGTGGCGTCTCCGCCGACGGCGGCAGCGGCAGCGGCAGGCATTCCACAAGTAGCGGCAGCAAGGGGGCCAAGGCGAAGGAGGGATCGGCGAGCGGCGGCACCGACGCAGCAGCGCCGGCGGCGGGGGACGGGGAAGATGCCGCCAAAGCCCCGGAAGACGGGAAGGCCGCGGCGGCGGCGGCGGCGGCGGCGGCGGCGGCGGCGGCCCCCGCGGCTAGCCAATGGGGAGGGAAGAAGTCCTTCCTGGATGTGAGTTGTGGTCGCCCGCGGTCGAGAGCGAGGGGGGCGCAGTTTGTCGACCCAGCGTATGCCTTCGCACGCAAATACCGTGTCTAGGTTTGCGTGACATGCCACACGCCCTGGACCGAAGGCTCGATTACTCTCCGCATTACTCCGCAGCAAAAGCAGTGGTGACGGACGGTGCCGATAATGATGACGGCTGTTGCTGCTGTCCTTCGTCGACAGCTTCCCCGTTTAGAGGCGGGGCGTCCTGTTCGTTGTGGAGTGATTGGAGGTGTTTGAGAATCGGTTCAGGGTGTGTGTGGCATCTTGAAGCAACCAACGGCATGTTCATTCCGGGAGAGCGCACTCGCTCCCTGCTGCACGGATAGCTAGCTACCTTGTTCTATTCTCGTATCTCCCTCGAAGTCCACCGTCCCCCGGGTACCGTCGATATACTTTTTCTCTATTCCCTGGGGTCAAAATGCAAGCCATCCTCTCCCGTCCCACGCTCTTGGGCCCCATTTCAGCTGTTAATAGTGCTGTCGAGGGTGAACACCTTCAGAAAGCTTCGTCTCATGCATACCCCCCTCCTCGTTCCCCGTGCGTTGCAATTCTTTTTGCCCTTTTCTTGCCTCTTCTTGTTTTTTTGTTGTTCGATCTTCAGGTCGTCAAGGCTCCCGGAAGCCTGCCACCCCCCATCGCCGCCGCCCCATCCGCGACCAAGCAGCCACCCTCCTCCTCATCGATGATGGGCAACAAGGCCAAGGGAGGGGGCCGCATAAAGTCTCCCCTGAGGGGACGCCCGGAGCCCCCCTCCGGAGAGAGCAGGGACATGAAGAGATCAGGGGGGAGGGGGGAGAGAGACGGGCACCGGGGCGACGGGCACCACCACAAGGGTAGCATGGGCGCCGCCGGCGGGGGGGGCAAGGACTCGGCGCGCTTGCCGAACGGGCGTAGCGGCGGCGGTGGTTCGCGCGAGAAGGGGGCGTGGGCGTGATAGTAGTTGTGGCCGCCGTAGAGGGGGGTCGGCGGACGAGAAAACGGAGGGGGGGTGGTTGGGGGGTGAAGCGTAACGCGGAGGAAGAAATAGCAGGAGTTCATTCACAGACAGTGGTGTTGCGTGTTGGTGGTCCTCGGGGCGTCTGTTGCGTGTTTGGTGGTGGTGGTGAAATTCCGATGGCCGCGCCTGTCTGCCCCCCACACCCTGTTGGCTGTTGGTTGTAGAGTGCCGCCTCAATGCGATGTGTCTTTTCGTGCTACAACCACCCCGTGCTAGTTGTTTTTTGTGACCCGCTGCTGCTGCTGCCGATGATCGCGTCGGCAACAAGCATGTCTGTTGATGCTCCGGCGAGTTGCGCTCACGCTTCCCAGAATGGTGTCTCGGCGAGAGGCGGTTCCTTGGTTCGTAGTCGGAGCTGTGCATGGTGCCGCTGGCTTTTACAGACCCCTCGCCGGCCGGCAAGAACAGCCTGGAACAAGGCGGGTCAGGCAGATAGAGAGAAAGAGAGAAAGCGCTGGTGCGTCGCGTGTGGTGCACCAGCGAATAGAGAGCACGAGTGTTTTTGTGCGGTATCACGTGTGTAACGAGCCGAAACTCGGAGGGTGTATTGGGACCGGGGTGTGTGGTGGTGGGGCGACCGGTCAGAGTCTCGGGCTGAGTTTCAGGAAATTTGTCAAGATTGCGAGACCGATTCTTCTTGTGTCTTGCGTGATTCGGTTCAAGGGGGGCAAGAGGTTGCGGGGAAATGGCAATTGCTGTGCCGAGTCAGCTCGTGTTCTAGTCTTCGTTTAGGCTGAGAACACCTTCGCTTTCAGGCTCAGTTGCGTCATGTGCGTTTGTTTTTTTGTTTTTCGCCGTTCTGCGCGCCGAATTTGCGTCTTGCTGCGTTGCGAAGGAGATAAGAATGAAAAGAAGCGCGTTCTCCGCTACGTTCGTGGCGTTTCGTGCGTTGGTCTGTCTGCAAGAGGGTCACGCGATGAACCCATCTGAATTCGCCAGTATTTTTCGCGCGGTCGGGACGTGTCTGATTTTATCTTTTTCGTTGGTTCTTGTTCTGTGAGTCGATTGCACAAAGACACCTGGCAGTGAAATAGGAATGGAACAGGACGGCGTTGTCAGGGGGGTGTTGTCTGTGGCAAAACAAGGGGGGTTGGGGTGGGGTGAAAAAATGCGGCAGGAAATGAATGGTGTTCTTTTCGATTGTCGCCATGGTAGTCGATAAGAGGAGCGAAGGACGCCACACGTGCATCGGTTCTACCTTATGCAAACCCTTGTGCTGGGGGTAAATCATGTGTTAGAAAGAAAGTCTACGTGGGTAAGAATGTCCACGGGGGGCCGGGAGCGCGGAACGTAGGGGTTGGGGAGAGGGTAAAAGTGTTTGGCGCCTTTGTGTAGGCTGCCGGGGACAGGAGGGGGGTTGCAGCCTCATCTCGACCCTTGCTTGGTTGTGTTCGGTGCCCGAGGTGCGATGTGGATGGCGTGCCTAATGCCGTGTGGACTATGTCGCCGCCGCCCCCCCCCTCCTTACATCGTGTAGAGGCGGTGCCTAGCGCCGGTTCGGTTGGTTGGTTCTTTGCGGCGGCGGCGGCGGCGGCGGCGGCAGTGTTGTCTCTTCTGTGGTCAAGGCAGTGCGACCCGGCTCCGCGTGGTGTTTTCCTGAACTAAAAGCTCAACCAAAGCAAGCGTTTGGCAAGCACGCGTTAGGCGAGCGAACCTGGCGGGGGCCGCAGCAAGCGAGTGAGGGTCGATCGGCGGTGTCGCATTGCCGGCGTTATTGAGAGACGGTTGCTATTTATTTATGCTGATTCGACTGGAGAGGCGCAAGGCCACGTTTTCACTAGTTGTTGTTGTTGTTGTTGTTGGCCGAGGTTAAGCTACCTCCTTACATCACGCGTGACGGCGTCAGCGGCAGCAGCAGCAGGGTTGTGGAATGGCACGCTCACAAACCTTGACTAGGGTTGAGTGTTTTTTTTGTTTTTGTTTTTTGTGTTCGATTTGTGCACATTTTTTCCGGTGTCCTTTTTCCTCGGTACGGCGAAAGAACTCAGGGTGAGAGAGAGAGAACGGTGGGCTGATTTGTTGGCGGGCGGGTTTGGATTCCTCCGCGCAGCGTGGCTGCCACCGTTTCGTTTCGTTTGTTTTTTTTTCGCTTTTTTTTCGTTTTTCTTGTTTTGATCTGATCGGATGGATTTGTGTTTCTCGACCAGACAGCAGTAGTAAGGCGCGGACAGTCAGCCAGCCTCTGACGTTCCACCTTTTTTCTTTTTCCGCATGATTTTTTTTTTTCTGCTTGTCTCTGTGTAGGCGCACTAAAAGTAGCTTTGTGTTGCGGAGGGATCAGGGTCGGAGTTTGAGGAGAGCGGGGAGTTACAAGGGCACAAAAGGAAGCGGGCGAACGTTATCCTACGTGTTGCTCTATCTTTTTTCTACTTTGGTGCTTCGTTTTTTATTGTTGAGCGTGTAACAGTCGTCCCTCTGCCCCGCTGCACAGCTGATAGTTCTTCGTCTTTATACCCGTCCGCAACTCACGCACAACAAAAAATGGAAAGGGCAAGATGTAGTATGTGTGGTGTTTTTTATGTGTGACGCGTACGTACATGGATAGTTTATTGCTTGGTCGTTTGCGTCCATGGTCCCCTTTGTTAGCGGTGTTCGTTTTTACTTTCTACTATGTCACCTCTTGTGTTTTTGGACGAGAGGCGGCCTTTGTCTTGTACCGCCCCCCCCCCCCCCCCCCCAG